ACCCAAACACCCCTTTTTATAGTGCAAAAATAGGCTCCAACGGACCAATGCATTAAAGGGGTGATTAGCTTAATTTATGGGATTGAAAAGATTTGGGATCTGCAGGATATTGGCTTCCCATCGATGTTTGGGACTTACCCATCGCTGGTAAGCCAATTTTCCTTCAGTTTTGAAGCCAACGGTTGCCTACCCATCGATGGGTAAATGCTTCCCATCGCTGGGTTGGAGGTTGACTTCCAAACAAGGAAAGAATCAACCTTAAATGACCTTCAACGGTCATCCATTTCCATCGATGGTTTATCCTTACCATCGCTGGGCAAGGTGGTTCTGCCTTGTGTTAATTTTGCACCAAGGCTTGAACAGCGATGGGTAGAGCTTCCCATCGCTGTTTGGCATGGTTCTAGAAATTGGTTTGGCTAAGGGACCGCTTACCCATCGATGGGAATATCTTCCCATCGCTGGGTGGGTTGTTAGTCAAGAACCCAAGGTTTTTGCCTTAACCACGACCTAGCCAACCGATGCAAAAAAACGACCGAAAAATCCAAAGTTCTCCAAAATAAAAACCAAGTGTTTAAAACACTTATTTGATGTATTTAGCTAAACAATCAAGTAAGACACTCTAAAAACCACGTCATTTGAGTGAAAAACACGGCTAGCCAAGTTTATGCCGTTTTGAAAGATTTTTGTCAAACGACCAAAAGCGAAAGATGGTTTTCACGGTGTTTTTTGTTGGAGAACCGTTTAGACATGCCAAGGAGTGAAAACCAATTATAAAAAGTTGAAAACCACTCGGTTGATTCGGACGCCAAAAACCAATGCCGATAACCGAAAGCCGAACGCTAGTTTCTGAAACCCGAACGCTGGATGGCTTGGTTTTTGGTTTGGGCGAACACCAAGTGTTTTTAATGACTTAAAAAAGTTTGAAAAACATTTTTATGATTTAAGAAATGCATTGAAGGATTTTAGCCTAAAGAGCCAAGGTGTAAAGATTGGGTCGGTCTTGATCACAATGAAGACCGACTCAACGACACTAAGACTAAGGTCTTCGTTCTTGGTCTTCTTTTAGCTCTTCTTCTTCTCTTCATTCTTCGCCTTGTATATTCAATGTTTGACTTGATCACGGCGGTTTGGCATTATCAAAACCTGTCATAAAAACAAACACGGCTTTAGTACGAAAATGTGACATGCCCGTGTTTCAACACGTCTCTCTTGATGACATCCAAAAGAGGCGAAATGGTACCAGCGGGTTGGGATTGAAAGCCTATTTCCCTGGAAGGTCCCGTCCTTTTCCCTGCGTATAAATGGAAGCCTATTTCCCGCACGTCGTAATCCCCCCACTCCTCAGGCTGCTGTGCATATGACTGCTGAGGGGAGGGAGAACCCTGGGTGGGAGGCCTCACACCAGAGACCAACCGGGAAGCTCCTGAGTGAGGATTGCGTCTCTTCTGCGGACGAGACGTGCCAGGACACCCAGAGAAAGCACGCCGGAACCCAGAAGAGCACCCCCTGATGCTTGATGGGGGAGATGAAGGTGGTTTTCCTCCCGGGGCAAGGGAGAAGTCACCTATTGTTCAGAGGCAAGAGAAGGCCAAGAAGAGAGTTCAGGTGTTGGGGCCCTAAGTGAGGGGAATGCCAACGAAGAAGAATCAGATGAAGAATCAGAGATAGTAAGAGCAATGAAGACAACTCTGTTGGCGTTATTAGCCATGTTGGGAATTTGATTGTGGTGGTGAAGGGGTTCAGGCTAGCCCCTTAAATAGGCGAGTGATCCTAAAGGAGGAGTGCAAGGGACGCGGAGTCAAAGCACTTATCCGATTGGGACGCAGTTGTGGATTCCCGAGGAATACTAGGGTTGCACTATTTCATTATTGGGCTAGGGTGGACTAGGCCCGGTGTAATTAAGGTGGGCCAGTCATTTAGCGCAATGATAATAAAAAAAATAGCACTTTGTAAACGCGGTTAAGCCCAAAGCCTAGGCGGATAAAATTTCGCTAAGTCCTAAAGAAAGATAAGAGTTCCAAAGGGGAAACAGTTAGCCCAAAGGAAGGAGTCTACAGAAACACGGATATGAAAGAGATGATGGCAAAGAACAAGATATTACAAGCGTCATCAAACTACTACCATTTAGATGTTACAAAGCAAAATACAACAGTTGGTAAAAAAAGGTCAAGGCCTCGGGTCAGCATGAGAATCTGGGGGAGGTAGAGGAAGAGGTAACCCGTAGTGGGAGATGAAGTCATCCAGGGATCGGTGAGCCGGAAGACCACTCTGGATCGCCTCATAAATGCAGTGTTGCATGTCAAATTTCCCTTCTTCATAAAGGGCTTCAGCACGGGCAGTCATGGTGGCAACCTTCTCTTGATGGGTAGCAATTGCCTTCTCCAGTTCACCCATCCTTGACCGGAGCTTGCTGGCAGCTTGTCTCTCTTTCCCCAACTTCTCGAGGGTAAGCCATTTCGCCTCCATGTGTTTCATCATAAGTTCTTTAAGATAGGAACTCTCCAGCTCTGCAATCCGGGATTCCCTTTCAACCAGCTCAGCTTTCAGACTTCCCACCTTGTCTTTTGAAGATAAGGCCCTTGATTCCAGGATGGAGATTTGTGCTCGGAGTCTGTCAAACTGCGCTTCTAGATCCTGGGTCCCCCTTTGGTAAGTAGCAATCTGCTCTTGTAGGGACTGGACTCTGGACCTTTCAGCTGCTAAGTCCATTGAGCCATCTGCCTTGAGCCGGGAATTCTCTTCCTAGAGGACCTGGACTTGTTGTTCCAAGGAATCAACCTTCTGTTGTAGAGCCCTGGCAGCAAACTCCTTCTCTTTCAAGAGCATCACGGCCCGGTAGTTTCCTGATGCTCCACCCAAGTACTCCTCAGTCAAAGTGAGGACTGATTGTTGGGCCTAAGAAAGGGGAAGGGAAGTCAAGAAAGAGTTAACTGAAAAGAGATAAAGGGATTCTTGAAAAGGAGGAGTACCTGCTCCATGAAGTGCAGAGCATTGAGGGCAAGCAAGCATGCCTGGGGAATTGCAGGGCCCTGCACTGATTCCCTCATCTTCTCTAGGTTTGCCTGGATAGTCCAGTGGGAAGCCTGTAAAGAGTTCAAGCCGCGGGAGAAGCCTGCCCAACCCTCTCTGAAGACAGGGTAGGTTTGCAGTGTGAACTTGCGCCGGATGGGGAGATTG